ATCAAAGTAATATGAAGCTAAATAACTCGGAAAACACGTAGGTTCGATTAAGGGAATTCGAGGTTTTGGTCTTATCTTTAAAATATCTCACCAGATCCTGCTCAGTTTTTGAAGAGTTGAAAAGCAAATTCACTAAAAATAATTATAGGAAATTTACTATTACTTTTTTCTTCTTCCAGCAGCCTTAACTGATCGTCTTTTTCACAGAGTCTAAAAGGGGCGTTTAAGCGAAATGGAACAATGCATAGATTGCCTACAAAGAATTGAAGGAGAGGATGGTCAGTTTAAGCCTATCAGTAAGTAGCATCAACTCCTTTTGTCGAGACCGTACCTCTGTCTCATATATCGAGCTTTTCTGAAGTAAAATAAGCATACCGAGAACCAATTTCCATGTTCAGTGTTTATGCTTGACACCACATTACCTTAATTAGATCGTTCTGAATAAAATCCTTCTCCTCAGTTAGCTTTTTAATCGCTTCCTCCAGAGACGCGATTTTCTTACCTTTCTCTAGGCAACTGTCTTTAGAATTCTGCAAAAGTGCATAGACTTGTGAGAGGTCATCAGACAGTTGACTACACTTTTTGAAAGACTCTGCCACCTGTCTCTCCTTCTCTTCATTTAAGACCTTCATTTTCAGCAGTTCAATCTAAATTAATAAAAAAACATGAAAAATCGTTCCAGTTAGCTCTATGAATTTTTTATAATCCGAACTGTAAGTTCGCACGAACATTGGTTCTTTCGAGTTCTTCTTCCAATCCAAAGTTCATCTGAAATCCGGTTTTTAAAAGAATATCCAAGCTTTCGTGACTTGTCCGAATATTTGAAACCTGATTTGTTAGAATCTCTTCACACTTCTTGAAAATTAAAGCGGAATCCTGTTTTTCTAAAGCAAGTTTTTGGAGCTCGGCAGCTAACTCGCTATTGCGAGCTGAGAGGGCACTCATTTCACAGTTGTGCTTCTCATTTAGTTGTTCTTGATTTTCAACTGCAGTAAATTGTTGTCGAATTGGTAGTATTATCTTACCTAAATGGCGATTTCTGTCCTTACTCTCATCTAGCTGAATACTCAGACTTTGAAAGTCCTTGAAAGTGTTCTCTAATAGAGCCTCCAGAGCCTTTTGTGTTGTCGCGG